AGAGAATAAACATTTTCACCCAGAAGGTGGTGGGAATCTGGAACTCATTGCCTGCTAAGGCAGTAGAGGCAGAAACCCTCATAATATTTTAGTATTTGTGTGTGCATTTGCAATGTCAAGGTATACAAGGCTATGGGCCAAGTGCTTTAAAAAGTTAGGTGGTTGTTTTTTGTTGGTGCAGCTATGAAGGGTCAAAACAACCTTTTTCTGAGCTCAATGACTGACACTGAGCTCATTCAAGGAAAGAGACGGTGCGCGAGTTGATAAATGGGGGAGGGTTCAACGGTGATGCCAGATATGGTTGAATAGATGATGAAAGATGATGTACTTTATGTACCTCAACAACACTATACTTGGCAAACAGAACAATAGCTGGTCAAAACAGGAATCAGGGAAAAAAGCACTTCCATGGAACACAGCAATATATCTTCATTTACCTGACAAGAGAAAGTCTCTGCTGAAGTGTCTACAAAAACTGTCTTTGCCAGATCCCTGCCGAGGGTGGTTAGTTCCCTGATGTAGTTCCCTTGCACACAGACGCAATGTTTCCGATACAGTCGATGCCTGCAATAATTTTAAGTTTTGTTGACAAGGAACATTTTATAGACTCCATTTAAAATGGACCAGGTGAGCAAATTATTCTAAACTGACTCATTGAGCTCTTGAATCCAATGTTATGGAACACAGTAAGACCAGTTACATAACAAGTGGCTGCTTTTGTAAGGTTATTTTTATTCGTTCTTGGATATCAGCATCAGCAAGGCCAGGTTTTTTTTGGTCCCTAATCGCCATGATGATGATGATGATGATGACAATGATGATGATTCAGGCTGTGCAGTATTCCAGGATTTTAACCCAGTGAGTGAAGGAACAGCAATATATTTAAAAGTCAGAATGGTGTGTAGCTTGGAGGGGAATGTACAGGTGGTAGTGTTGCCCTGTATGAACTGTGACAAAAGTCAAATTATGGAAGGTGCTGTGAAAAGAGGCTGGCGAGTTGTTGCAGTACATTTTGCAGGTGGTACACACTGCTGCTGTTTCTCAGAGGTGGAGGGAATGAATGTTTGAGATTAAGATGTTTATGATTTCAATAGCCCATTCAAAAGATACATCACCTGTCTCTAATAGGACTGTGCTACAACAGCAAGATTCAACTCAAATGAGTATTTGTTAAAACTTGCTGCACAAACATGAATTACTTGCCTGATCAGCCGTCTGCGTGGGTCCAATATATCAAGCAGTTTGTCAACATAATCCTTTGTAGCAGTCGTGAAGAGAATGATCTAATACAAGAATAAGTGTTGGATTAGATTTGGAAGCAGCCTACTCACTTGTTCAAGGTTCTGCCAAAGTTACTTTGATCTTGCTTTGTGCACCTTCTGTGCAGCTGTAACCTTGAATACCTCACTCAGTCTAAGCAACCAATAATCTGTGTGTCCTCATTTGCTATGATCTGCCTGTACCGCTTGCAAAACAAAAAAACTTTTCACTGTACTTAGGTACATGTGACTGCAATAAATCAAATCAAATTAGCGATTAAAGCAGAGTGAAGTAGGGAAGGCCACCATCATGGAGGAGCAAAATAAAAAATTTGAAATTTATCATAAGCTGTCAGCCATTAACTTAAAGACTTATTTGTGATTCCTTCAATACCAAGTTTGTATTGAGCCAAAGAAAGCAGAACAGTGCAAACTATGCCTCCCCTAGCCCTTAGCAGATCTACACAGAGCAGTCATTGGATATAGAAAGAATGATCTTGGATTCCTCCTTGGCATCCAATGCAAGAAAGTGCATAAATGTCAGGTGCTGACACAATAGAGCTCAACAATGATGCCACTCTTGGTCGAGTAGGTAGGGTTACCTGTGAAGAGCAGCCTCTATAAACGCACAGCCAAAATTTATCCAGTTAACGTCTACAGGTTCACCGGTAATCAACTGGCAAACCTGATAACAGATAGCACTACTCAGGTGGTGAGAAAGATAATAGGTTTAAAGCAATTATAAATAAAGTTAATTGTGAACTTCTTCACAGCTCCAATTAATTCTGTCATTTCTGCTCTCTACCACCTCCCCACCCCCACCCTCGCACAGGAGATCGCTTAATTTACACAACTGTCTCTTCTCTCATCTTCATCCCAATATCACTGCCAATTTAGACACTGTGATCACATACTAGAAAGCTTGATTAAAATCTGAACCAATTCTGAAATCAGATCAATAAACGTAGAACAAAATGGGCACTATTTTGTTGCTCAAAACAGGTTACACAGCTGCTGGGGTGTAGGTAATAGTCACGGTACTTCAAGTACCATGAGGTACAGTCAAGCATGACCCTCCTGGTCATGTTTCTGTGCTTAGCAGCTTCCTGCGGTTACTCTGCTATGGGATCAGCCTGCATTTTGGGCTAGGGTGTGGTTGACAGGGTAGTAAGCGTCACACCTCTTTTTGGGGAAAAATGTGAGAGACAGCAGGGTCATCATATGAAATACAACTCTTCTCATCCTCCTCTCTATAATATTGCATTGCTATTTGTGGGAGATTACTGTACACAAGCTACTTGCTCAATTGCAACACCAACAGCACTCCAGAAGTACTACTTGGGTTGTAAATCTCTGATAGTAATGTAAAACTGCATGGTTTTTCTGGAGATAAAACCCAGGAGGCCACTATGCCAAGTGGATCACATTTGGTAACTAACTGCTTAAGGGAAAAAGGAGACAAATAACCAGCTATCCATGAAATTTCTCTTCAGGATACAAGAAAAGTTTAAAAAAAACAATCTGCTCAGACCTATTATGACACACACCTAGAGCAGGTGAGATTTGAACTATTCAGTTCACTGAACAACATGGGAACTGTACACACAAGAGCATAAGGCATGCGAGCAGAAGTAAGCTTTCCAGCCCATTGAGTCTACCCTGACATTCAATGAGATCATGACCAAATTGATAATCCTCAACTCCATTTTCCTGCCTTTTTCCTATTATCCTGGATTTTCTTGCCAATTAGAAAGCTGTCTTATTTCAGTCTTGAATATGCTTAACAATCCAGCTTCAACAGCTCATGGTGGTAAAGGATTCTACAGAATCACTATATATGGAGAGAAGAAATTCCTCCTCATCTGTCTTAAAAAAAAAAGTGTGACCACCACCCCAACCCCCACCCCCGATCCTAAACTCTCCCACGAGAAGAAAAACTCTACTTGTATCTACCCTGTCAAGTCCCTTAAGAAACTTGTATGCTTCAATCGGCTCTTGGAAACAATGGATTTGGCTGTGGAACTTGACCTGGGACAGTAACATTATATTAATGCAAGTTCACTTTATTAGACTAGGATGTTACCCAATTTAAAGAAAAAGGAGAACAGAGTTGCAGGAAAATAGGGGAAGAGCCGGAAAGTCAGACAAAGTTCTTTCAAAGGCCCAGCACACTCCATGGGCGAAATGGCAATTTTCTCTGTTAGATTCATACAGTCAGAGTTGTTCAACTTAGAGTAAAATTCTGTCATAACAGAAATGCAAGTTACCAACACGAATCCCCATGCAATTCAATAATCAAGTGGAACTTGGTCTCAATCATTATATCACCGGAATAACAGGAAGAACACACTGTTCTGGTTAATGAGTTTACCTCATAGAACTGGCTCAGATTTTCAAGGAACTCCCTGCAGTAGGGCCTCAACTTCACATAGACCTGGAAGACAGAGGAGGAACTCTTAAAAACACTTCAAACGTTTACCCTGGGTTTCCTCTTTCTCCTCTCCCAATTCCCACTGTCATCTGCGAGGGCTTTTTTTTAAAAAAAAAAGTAGTATCAGGCAGTGGGCACCACTGTTGATGGGCCAACATTCATTGCCCATCCCTAATTGCCCTGGAGATGATGGTGGAGAAATGACATTTAAAAAGCATCTGGATGGATACTTGAATAGGAAATATTTAGAGGGATATGGGCCAAATACTGGCAAATGCGACTAGGTCAGATTGGGATGTCTAATTGGCACAGACAAGTTGGACCAAAGGGTCTGTTTCCAAGCTGTACGACTATGACAGTAAAAACTACCTTCTTAGTTTTCTGCAGTCCCTAGAGAGTGTAGGAACACCTCAATCTGTTAGGGAGAGGCCTCTGCGTTTTTGACACAGTGACTGTAAAGGAACAGCAATATGGTTTCAAGTCAGGATGTGGCTTGGAATGGAACTTGCTGGAAGAGGCTTTCCCAAGCACCAACTTCTCATCATCCTTGCTGCTACAGACTTTTTTCCTCAAAAAAAAAAAAAAAGTGCTTGCTGTTCTATATTGACTCCCATTCTACTGATGTCTAACATGAACTCTTATTAGAAACTGTTGAATGCAGTGTTGTTTTGGTGGCAAGTATCGTTGGTGCCAACTGCCTCATTCTTCATCTGAGCTGGGAATGAGGCATCCTGAATGGGAACATTGAGGTTGAAGACTCACCCTCCACCACTCTTGCAGCCATTTGCTTTTCTCTTTGGGGTGCCCTCTGGCAGGTACATAGGAACAGGGGTGGCATGGTGACTCACAGCGCCAGGGATCTGGGTCCAATTCCAGCCTCAGGCAACTGTGCAAACTCCACACATTCTCCCCGTGTCTATGCAGGTTTCCTCCAGGTGCTCCGGTTTTCCCCCCTACCGTCCAAAGATGTGCAGGTAAGATGGATTGGCCGTGCTAAATTGCCCATAGCGTTCAGGGCTGTGTAAGTTAGGTGCATTAGCCATGGGAAATGCAGGTTTACAGGGATAGGATAGGGGTATGGTTCTGGGTTAGATGCTCTTCAGAGAGTTGGTGCAGAACTGTTGGACCAAATGACCTGTTTCCACACTGTAGGAAGTCCATGATTCTATTAACAGGTTTCTGAACAAACAGCAATTACCACTTGCATTAATGTAGCACCTTATCATACTGAGACATTCCAAGGTATTTTACAGGCTATGACACTGAGCCACAAAAGGAAGATATTGGGACTGGTACCATACTTATTTTCTTAATTTCTTCCTGTATTTGTTCACTTTCTACTCTGCTCCCCTGGTCATTCACACATTGTCTCTGTTTATTTATCTGTTATCAATGACAAAACCTTTTGTGAATCTCTCCTGTTCTCTGCCCTATCTCACACTTTTCTTCTTCCTTCCCCATTTCCACTTGCTCAAAAGTTTGCTATGTTCTTGTAGCTCTGATGAAGAATCCTCATCTTCCACCTGAAATATTAACTCTGATTTTAAATAGAGTCATCCATCACTTGTGGGCGAGCATTTACTCACCATCCAAATTGCACACAAGGTGGTGGTGAGCTGCCTTCATGAGCTGTGAAGGAGGGAGTTCCAGGGTCTTCGAGTCATAGAACTGTACAATACGGAAACAGACCCTTCGGTCTAACTTTTTTTTCCCATTATTCATTCATGGGATGAGGGCATTACTAGCTAGGTAGCATTTATTGCCCATCCCTAATTGCCCAGCCACCACCACTTCATCTGGCAGCTCATTCCACACACACACACAACCCCCTGCGTGAAAAAGTTGCCCCTCAGGTCCCTTTTAAATCTTTCCCCTCTCATCTTAAACCTATGCCCTCTCATTTTGGACACCCCTACCCTTGGGAAAAAGGCCTTGGCTGCTCACCCTCGTGATTTTATAAACTTCTACATGATACCCCCTCAATCTCTGACACTCGAGGGAAAAATAGCCCCAGCCTATTCAGCCTCTCCCTATAGCTCAAATCCTCCAACCCTGGCAACATCCTGGTAAATATTTGCTGAAGCTTTAACAACATCATCCCTATAGCAGGGAGACAAGAATTGAATGCTATATTCCAAAAGTGACTTAACCAAAGTCCTGTACAGCCACAACATGACAACCCAACTCCAATATCAATGCACTTGGCCCAGCAACAGGGAAGGAGGGCTTTTCTCTGCACAGATGTTGCTTGATCCGAACACTTCCAGCATTTTTGCTTATATTTGAATTCCTTGTTTATGATAGAAAATATTCAGGCCAGCAATAACAACAACAACATTCAGTTGTCCAAAGACAATTGGATTCTCTTATAAAAAAAGAGGGGGGAAAAAAACTGCAGAAATTTGAAATCTGGAACAAACCCAGAATGGGGCGGCATGGTGGCTCAGTGGTTAGCACTATTGCCTCACAATGCCAGGGACCCAGGTTCAATTTCACTGTCTGTGTGGAGTTTGCACATTCTCCTGTGTCTGCATGGGCTATCACCCACAGTCCAAAAGGTGGATTGGCCATGCTAAATTGCTCATAGTGTACAGGGATGTGCAGGCTAAGTGGATTAGCCATGGGAAATGCAGGGTTACAGGGGGTGGGTCTGGGTGGAATGCTGTTTAGGAGGTGGGACACTGTACAGCTTTTACAATGCTAGAGAAGCTCAGCAAATCTGGCAGCACAAGGAGAGAAACAGTTAAATGTTTTGAGTCCAGTCGGACTGTTCTGAAGGTGGCATACCGGACTTGAAATATTAACTATTTCACTCTCCACAGATGTTCCTCGACCTGCTGAGTTTCTCCACCATTCTCCTAACTGGATTCTAGTTAATTGCCAAACACCAGAACAAAAACCCCATTGCACATTGCAAATGTGACAAATGAGACCAGTGTACACACTTCTGGTATCCAACTATGATACAAGATGATTCAATGCAGCAGTTCCCCTCACACCCAATTCACAGTTGCTGAATGATTTCTGCTGTCTCCCCAGTAGCAGCAGCTTCCTCTCATATCTTCCTGGCTTCACCAGTTCCTCCCACAAACAAAAACAAAACCCAATTTACTCAGAACCTCTATGCATTCAGAACATAGATGGACTGGGAGCAGAGTTTCATGCTGGCTTAACAGGAACCTAGAGGAATTCGATAAATCTTTAGCAATGTTCTCGTTTTAGCAGACTGTGTTCCTGAGTGTTCTACTGACCGCTCCATCCAGCAGATCCCATAGATTGATTACTGATAAGGACAGACGGTGCAGGTGCACTGTGCAGGCTGGGGGTGGGGGCTTGGGAGAACAGCGAGATGTTTACGGATAAACAACTCCATTATTCAATGCAACAATCGAGCTGAATAGTCTGTTTTAAAAAACTCAAAGCATTAAATAAATCTTCTTGTTCTGTAGCTCTGGAGGGAACTGAATGTGTGTCAGTTTCACTAGCCAGTGGATTACAGTCTGTCTCAGTGAAACAAACAAACAAACATCGATGACAGTCAGTCAATGATCGCTTTCTCCCCACTCATTAACTTGCAACATGCAATTTCACATCAGCTTCAGTCAGTCTACACACTGCTCAACAACACTTCATCATGTACAGTTACATGCTAGGTGTCCCAGTGGTCTTTGCAAGATGACTAAAATGGATTGTTGACTGCGTTTTGGTAGGAAGTGCAGATAACCCAGGCAAGTCAACCTGGTCACGAGGAAAAGAAACAAGGTGACTCTGCTCTGCTTTGAAGGGGTGAGGGCGATTGCACATTTGGATAACACCAATTACCTTCACAATGACAGTCCGGGTTGGTGTTTGACGAGTTCTAGTCAGAAGCTAATCATTTAGCAACTGTACAAGCAGGCTCTTGGTTAAACAAGTAACAATAAAATATTGCAGACATTGGAAATCAAAAAATAAAAAAAATGCTGGAGAAACTCAGCAGGTCTGACAGTATCCACAGAGAGAGAGAGAGAGAGAGCGCTAACGTTTTGAGTCCAATATGACTTCTTTAGCTTTTGTTTTGGTTAAAGGAAAGTTAATTTCCCTGAAATTAGAAATCAAAGGGACTAGGAGGATGAGGAATTTAAGGAAATGAGTTGGAAGGTTGTATTATTGTGTCCCTAGGGGAAATTTGGGGAAAGACAGGAGATTGGCACTAGATAACAGAAGCAGTGTAGGCACAGTGGGTGAATGGACTCCTTCTGTGCAATAATAATTTAAAGTTTCAGAATGCACACTGTATAATCCCAGATACAGTAGACTGAATTAGTAAATTATGGCAAACATGACCATATGGTAGAATTTTACATTATGTTTAACAGTAAAGTACTGCAATCCAAAATCAGAGTTAGATCTAGGGGTTCATGTATATAGTTTGTTGAAAGTTGTATCACAGGTAGACAGGCTGGTTAAGAAGGTGTTTAGTATGCTTGCTTTCATTGCTCAGACCATTGTGTACAGGAGTTGGGATGTCATATTGAGGTTATACAGACCATTGGTGAGGCCTCTTCTGGAAGTACTGTGTACAGTTCTGGTTGGCCTCTGAAAGGAATGATATTATTAAATTGAGATAGTTCAGAAAACACTTATCAGGATGATGCCAGGACCGGAAGGCTGGGACATTTTTCATTGGAGCGTAGGAGGTCGACATAACCTTATAGAGGTTTATAAAATCATGAGGGACATAGATAAGATGAACAGCAAAGGGCTTTTCCCTACAGTGGGCGATTTCAAAAGAAGGGGGCATATTTTTAACGTGAGAGGAAAAAGATTTAAGGGACCTGGAGGGGCAACCTTTTTCCACAGAGGGTGGTTCATGTGTGGAATGAACTGCCAGAGCAAGTGGCAGATGTGGGTGCAGTTACAATATTTAATAAAAAAGATATTTGGACAGATACATGAATAGGAAACATTTAGAGGGATATGGGCCAAACATAGGCAAGTTGGACAAGTTAGGTTTGGGAAACTTGATCAATATGGACGAGTTAGACTGAAGGATCTGTTTCACTGCTGTATGCAGGATGTGACTAGGGAGCATGATGAAATAACAAATCCAATAAGGAACTCAGGAAACACTTTACTCAAATGATGAGCATGTGGAATTTGCTAACAGGGAGCAGATGAGCTGAATAGTAGAATGACATTGATGGTGAAGCTGGAGAAACATATGATGGAGAAAATCATAGAATACATTGATGGGTTTGAGATGAAGAGGGTAGGACAAGGCTCATGTGTAGCATGAACCTGTTGGGCCAAATGGCTTTTTATATACACACACACAGTTAAGATTGACAAACCTGGTAACTTTTATCCTGAAAGCAGACAGGGAATACGAATTCTGTCCCCTCCATGTCTGTCAACTGGCAATGGACAAGGGTCTCGTCCTACAGATAGGGAGAGAGATCAAATAGCAAAAACAATTGGAGTTGGCTTGCAGGAAGGCTAAAAGAGTTATATATAGAGTGTTACTCCTCTTCTGTAGTTTGGTATATTTTAATCAGTCATATTTGGTTCTGGGATGGGAGTCAGAGTACATAGATGAAAAAGCAGATTGAGAGATTTGGGTCCCATCAATGCAAAAGGTCTCCAATAATGAGTACAAGAGATACTTAGAGTGCAATACAATGCAGCCATAATCAGATTCTCAAATGCTTGCACCTATAGGTGGTCATTATTTGGATGGTGCTTTGGTTGAAGCAAGGGGAGGGAGTGGCAGTGATAATATAGTGTGAAGACAGGAGAAAGTCACAATCCAGCACAGTTTCACGTACACTGGTCTCACTCTCATTCCACACCCAACTGGCCTTTCATCCTGGGTGTGACTGGCTACAGCTTATATGATGGTCAGGCGTACAGCAAGGGTTGGGTGGAGTGAGGACTGTGTACTGGAAAAGTACACTGCTCCCAATCCCACCATGACAGCTGGTGGGTTTGGAACGCAAATAAAAATTTGGAATTAGAAGCTACCTCAATCACTATCAACTGTTGTAAAATTCCATTTGGGTCCCTAATGTCCTTTAGTAAAGGAAATCTGCTGTCCAAACCTGGTGTGGCCAACATGTGACTCCAGACTCATAGTAAGTGTGGCTAACTCTTATCTGCCCTCTAGAACGATAGTGTGAGCCACTTGGTTCAAGGCCAATTAGGGATGGGTATCAAAAGCTGGGTCTTGCCAACAATACCCACATCATAAAGAGTTTTAGAAAGGTTGCAAACACCTTGTTTACAATTTGCCTCAGTTCAATCAAAAACTAAATGCATAAAAATAGATCAGCTCTCTTCATCTAAATACAAAAGTTTAACTAATGTCTTTATTCAGATTATTTCAAAAATGAAATACTGTCATTTGTTCATACAGCTACTTTACTCTGGCAGGATCTCAAACTTGGACAGACCACTTGTCAGGCGTCATTGTCTTTAGTGGATGGAAGAATCATGGATCAAAACAGACTTATTGTAGCTAAACATGACACTCACCAAGCCAAGGACAAGGGAATAATCAGGCACGCTGCGTGTTTTCAGAGGAAGAATGGATTTTTGCAATATCATTTTCGTTGAACTTTGGAGCTTTTTAATGAACTTGTATCTGAAGAGAAATGTTCAATATCAGGGATGTCAGTTTAAAATAAAATGGCTTTTACAACTCCAAACCACAGAGCAACACAGCTGGATATTTAAACCAGTATTGCTTACTAGCCTATATATAGCTATAACAATAAAGCTCCAGTTTCCACTTTATGTTTGAACCCTTCAAAGTGAGTAATTATTGAGACCTTCACTCCACCTCAAAGGCATTCCCTGATTAAATGGTATGTTAAACCGAGAGCTCATCTATCATCTAAGAAATTGTTATAGGCTTGTAGCAGAGCTCTTTCCCAGCATCCTGATTGATAGCACTCTTTCAACCAGCCCTGCAAGGAACACATCATCCATTTCATTTTGCCCAATGAAACTGTAATTGCCACGTTCATGATGACTGCCATATTGCTTCCAAGTGCAATTACTTTCCAGATTAATTTATTGCATTTGAGGGGATTTGGAATCATTTGGAAAGTGACAATGTGCATTAATGAGAAATAACATGCATGCCACACAAGTGCCAGGCAATGACAATCTAAACAATAGAGAATCTAACCATCTCCTCTGGACATTCAATTGCACTACTGTCATGAAATCTCGATCAACAACATCCTGGTGTTATCATTGACCAGAAACTAAACTGGGCTAGCCATACAAGTACTGTGTCTACTGGCAATTCTGGAACAAGTAACTCATCTTCTGACTACCCATAGCCCTGTCCATCATCTAGGTGGTTCAAGTCAGGAGTGTAATGGAATACTCTCCACTTGCCACACAGATGGAGACCACCTAGGACAAAGCAGACTACTTGATTAGCCCTGGATTTACCACCTTGGACATAAACCCTTCCAGCAACAAGACAGGCTACAGTATGTACCATCTACAAGATGCACTGCAGCAACTCAAAAGTACCTCTGACAGCACCTTTTGAACTTGTGACCTCCAGCTCCTAGAAGGACAAGGGTAGCCAATACATGGGAACACCACCAGTTGCAAGTTCCCTTCCAAGCCACTCACAATCCTGACTTGGAAATATATTGAGACACCAAGGCGTAGAGCTGGATGAACACAACAGGC